GACTCGCCCCAACCAAGGCAGGGATCGAACCTGCAACCCAGGTAGGTGGCCTTGACCGGAAATCAAACCCATGACCCTTTGGTACACGGGCTGGGCTCTAACCACTGAGAAATGCCAGCCAAAGGGGAAATCTTAAAGGTAAGCCTGTGTCGGTGTTTTTTAAACCAGAATTTAGTTACATTTTTAAAAAATCATTGGCAACCTTTAGAGAGACTAGATATGAAGATAGAGATGAAAAGCTAAGGGTTGTATTTTGCATGCACTTAATTACCTTGTTTTACTGCCTAGGCATATCCTCCGGTGTGGTCATCTTTATTATACTCGTCATTATTTCCTGGATGATTCTAAAGCACAAAAAGTGGTCAGTACAGCCATGGGCTTTGCAATCACTGAGACCTATGCTCATACTCACTCACTAGCTTTGAATCCTGGCAAGGTACTTAGTCTCTCTGAAGTTCATTTTCCTTGCCAGAAAAATAAGATAATAGTCATTTCTACCACAACATAGTGCCTCTCTTATAATGAATGTCACAAAATGTTAGCTATTGTTATTTATACATAACTATTCTTACTGATATTTAAAAGTAATTAAATACTTCTTTTACTATCAGTTCTTATGTACCTTCATGACAACTGCTACTTTCCATACTATAGGTATTGTACAAAATACAGAACGTATATCTTCACTATGGGGGTGAAAGGAAGCCTTGTGTAAGATTGCAGTGCAAAGCCATTTAAATGTCACAATCCTGTTGTAACAGTATTTACTAATCAATATAACTTTGGAATAGAGAAATGTGTTGTCCTAAGGCATGGGCACTTGGCTATAAGCAGGTTAGAGTTCCGACACAACCTATAGAATGGTTTTAGTATTATTTTCTAATCCAAGTTTTTACTCAGTTTTGAAAAGTGTGACTTGGTTACATTTTTCTTTTTAGATGCCTTACAAAGATATCAGAAACCTAAGACAAATTATGCCCTAAATGTCCAAATGAAAGTTATTGATTACCTCCTTTCAAAACAAAAATGTATAAAATTTAGTTATTTTTCTCATCTTTTTCTCCCCTGCCAATTAGCAGTAATACAGATGCAAAATCTAAGGAAGTCAATATCCATTTACATCCCCAAGAAGGGAGCTGTGATCATGCGCAAAGTCTGCAAACAAGTGAGGAACATAGCAGGTACCGAACACAAATTGAAATCAAAATGCTTTCAACAACCCAAGTATCGAAATGGAAACAGGATTTAAATGTGCTATTGTACCTGGTAGATCACTAATACCAAAGGCGTTGGAAAGTACTTCAGGAGCTGGATACACTGCTGGTGGTGTCTTTCTTGGATAATTGTTTCCAGTGACTTGGGGTGAGGACTCCGGCAGTGCTGTGCACAGGCACTGTTTTCCTAAGCATTCCTGTATTATTCTGCATTTGTTATCGGTGGAAGTGGAGTTCTTGGGGTGCCATGGGGGAAAGAATTTTATTGATGATGTAAAGTTAAGGGGGGTCCCTTTCAAGACCCCATCTATGTCAGTCCCACCATGGGAGAAGTCCGAGCTTACCTTCAGCAGGGCTAGAATTAGGGATGCCAGTCTCCACCCCATAGTAAAGCAGAGTCCATTCCAGCATCCGCATGTGGGGTCCACATGGCCATGGGCCACACGGCTTCTAGGGCTACATGGCTATGGAGAGAGAACAGGTGAGCGCACGGGGCAGGTGCAGGCCATGAAGCGACAAGAGTACCAGACCAGAACTGCACACGAGAGAGGGAACTCTTTGTCCTGGGATCATGTATTCCCAAATTTTCCTGAGTTTGCATTGTGTCTACCCCCCTAGCCAATCCATTGTTCCTCAAGCTAGACTGACAGTCAAGCCCCTTTTCTACATCACCCTGACTGCACTGTGTATGAGCCCATCTCCCCCTGTGTTCAACTCCTTCCCCTGAGCATGTACCCTGACTGGGAATCGAACAGGTAACCTCTTGGTACCTGGGAGCTGTCAGAAAACTTACAAAGATATCAAAAACCTAAGACAAGTGATGCCCCAAATTTCAAAATGAAAGCTACTGACTACCTCCTTTCAAAACTAAAATGTATATAATTAAGCTATTTTTCTCATCTTTTTCTCCCCTGCCAATTAGCACTAATACCTGGCCAGGCAGGGGTGATGTGCCGCAGTCTTTTCACGGCAATGGTTCAGGAATCTGGAGAAGGGGCTGCAACATAATGGATAGAGACTATATAAGAAATATAAACTTGGAATGCATTTTGCGGGAGCCAGACAGAAACCAGCTCTCTAGTGGAGAGGCTCGCCGAATCTCCGGACCCACGGCTTTTTATTTACACATTTTGTCCTTTAGCAAAGCAAACACACATATCAAAGGTAAAGTTTAATAAACAGTAAAAGATTATCAGGTTAGGGGATCGCCCTCAGCCATTTGGCCAGCAGCAGGGTAATATAATGTTGATACTCAGCCCTGCCCTGCTGCATATGGAAGCCCATCGGCCTCCTGGTGAACTTGCAGCATTTGTTATGACCTGCTGGTCTTAACCTCCAGCAGGGACGCATTTGTTTTCCTCTCTTATCAGGGAACTTTGATGGAAAAATTGTGCAAAACTGATTCTTAGCCAGCCATGCTATCACCAAATATAAACAGACTAAATAACCAGACCATGAGGGCAATGCTGGTCTTTATACAATTTTATTAAAAAATGTTCCAGAAGACTGCTTAAGATATCATTTCACTTACCTTATTCCTGCCAGGTGACCTGCCTAAAACACTTTGCCACCTTCCTTCCAAACTAAGTTGCATGAACCCAGCTCGGAATTCACTGACCCAAGAAGCTCCCCCAAAATAACTCTAGTCCAAAGTGATGTCTCTCTTTGGAACTCAAAGCACTTCCTGTCCCAAATTTTTAAAATAAATTATTTTCTTTCAAGGATAATATATACTCATTGAAAATAGAAAATATCCAGAAACATAAAAATAATAAAAATCACTTGTAATAACCCTCCACCCAGTGGTTAGTATTATTAAGCTACTTTGCATATTATTTTACATTTGCAAGGTTATACTTTGAGATTATGTTGATGTGATTTTGGTTTCAACAAATGACAACCATTCTTCTCATTGTTAAAAACTGTATATGAATACATCATACAGTATTTGACTTTTCATTTGTTGTTTTTTACCCATTAACTCTATTGCATTCTTTCACTCACTCATTCATTGATTCTATAAATTTTGATTAGTCACTTATAATTGTAACCAGACAATCAATGAATCCAGGCTGCCTGTCACTACTTGAGCCATTTTAGCAGACAGGGTTGAATCATATATTAGCATTTATTCCAATACTGCCGGCAGTATGGGAGAGCAGCAGGTCATCCATAAAATTCTGCTTTGCCCCCCACCGTAAGCCAGCTGCTTATATTGGGTAGATGGACAAAGATTACATGGGGAAGAAGGCAAAAGGGATAAGAATGGGTATGCAAAATGAGCAGTTTAAAGGTCATGCAGGCTGGGGTTTGCAAAGGCCTGGGGGTGCCTCTGGTTTCTGCAACAAGGGTGTTAACCTTTCAATGATAATAGGCAGCTCCTGGATGTGGAGGAAGGACCACATTTCCAGGTGAGCTCCCAGCTCCCACATGCAACTCCCATCCAGGTTGAAATGTGCTTTCTTTATTTTTTTTAATTAAATCTTTATTGTTCCAATTATTACAGTTGTTCCTCTTTTTTCCCCCCCATTGCTCCCCTCCACCTGGTTCCCACCCCACCCTCTGCCCTTACCCCCCCACCACTGTCCTCATCCATAGGTGTACGATTTTTTCCAGTCTCTTCCCACACCCTCCATACCACTTCCCGCCCCCCGAGAATTGTCAGTCCACTCCCTTTCTATGCCCCTGATTCTATTATATTCACCAGTTTGTTCTGTTCATCAGATTATTTATTCATTTGATTTTTAGATTCACTTGTTGCTTTTCTCTTTCCTTCTAGTTGTAGAATTTGCCTCCGTACCTCTGCACTTTACTTCTGCACCTCCTCTGAGTCTCAGTGTGCTTTTCTCTTTCCTTCTAGTTGTAGAATTTCCACTCAGCCAGCCTTCCTGTGGTTCTGGATGATGTCCATTTTGTCTTTTAGTTGTATTTTTGAAGTGGTTGTGCAAGGCAGCAATTTCCGGTGTTTACCTATGCCGCCATCTTGGTTTCTTCGAAATGTGCTTTCTTTAATCAGAACAAAACAACCATGGTGAACAGAGCATGGTTAATATTTCTTATCATTATAGCTGGTCCCCAATATTCTTTGTCTGCCCGTAACCTAATGTACGACACATTGTGCTTGTGTGTTTTCTCTCCCAGGCTAAATTAACTTACATATTCATAAGGACCATCGCTGTAAAATTGTCCAAATTTCTGAGTATAGACTTAATCAAATGAGAAGTGGTCAGTAAATATTTGAGAATCAATTTGCCTAAATTTTATTTATCCTCAACTTTTTGGAGACATTCTTTTACCTCAATGTGCATCTCCAGTTGTGTTTATTGACTGTTGGCTGCTTTTTTATAAAAAGCTAGTAACTCCTTAAGAAAGTTATGTCAAATTTTCATTTGTAAGATTGGAATTCTGACCACAGGTGTTCTACAGGAGAAGGTTAATCGTTTGTAGACAAGGAGTGAGCTAGAATCTGTGCCAAGCTGAAAAGCTGTGCACTCAGGTCAGGTACAGGGTCAGAGAGGATACATACAAGGAGGCAGACAGACTCCAAAGACACAGCCACGTGTTGGAACGCATGAGAACGCTCAATGATGATGCAGCTAACATGATGTCGGGAACACTTGTGAACTAGAAAGGGGACAGTGATGAAGGGTCAGGTGGCAAGAATTACTGGGAGTGTCAGGTGAGCTGAGGGGAGTCTGTCCATTTGTGACAACACAGTGTTCCCGGCCTTAAGAAAGAGTGGCCGAAAAAGCATTTGGACACTTTACAGCGGTTCTCAAACTTCCCAATGCCGTGACCCTTTAATACAGTTCCTCACGTTGTGGTGACCCCCAATTTCATTGTTACAAATTGAACATAATTAAAGCATAGTGATTAATCACAAAAACAATATGTAATTATATATGTGTTTTCCGATGGTCTTAGACGACCCTTGTGAAAGGGTCATTTGACCCCAAAGGGGTCACGACCCACAGGTTGAGAACCGCTGCCTTAGACTATGCAATACCTCCTTTCAATCTTGACTGTGATAAGGGCAGGAGGACATGCTATTTGAAGCTGCCCCACCCCCAAACTACCAGATTCTGTTTATTTCCCCCTGCTGTAACCATGGTTCAGAAAGGAGACTAAAAGAAAGCTTTTGTGTGTTACAATGGACCTGTAGGTTTTCTGGAATAAGGCTCTTTTTTTTAGTTTCTCAACTCTGAGGACACTTTTCCTTTTACAAAAAGAAATGGGGAATGGTCAAGTTATTGTTCATCTATTATCTACTAAGTATCTCAGTGTATGCCATACTGTCTTGTGTCCTACATAGCTACCAAAACAGAGGGCAATAAAGACTTCTTTTAAACGTGTAAGATATATGTAATGTCAGCATCATGATTAGCAGCATAGAAATTTGTTGACCCTGCTGTCATTTAAATAAGAATTCCTTTTATTTCAGTGTCCTTCCTTGACAACATACTATAAAGCTGAAGAACATCTCAGATGAAAATGCTCGTCGGAAAGGAGCCAATTCATTTCAACAGAATAAGATCTGAGACTCATAAAGTCCTTGAAGTGACCTCACAGAGCGGCCAGCGTGTGCACGTGGAGATGCTGGAGCTCTCCCAGTTCCCGAGGAAGCTCCCTCCTCGGAGTGCGGATGCTGTCACTCCATCTTCCTTCTTTGTGCTGAAATGAAAGAACACCCTGTCTAGCCAGGGGAAGGACTGCACTTAGGGCTTAGAAGTACCAGTAATCTCAGTTACTTAAAAGAAGAAGTTGTCACCTAGGATTTCTGTCTATAAGTTTGTCATTTGTCTTTCATATTTTTAATTATTCATATAGGTGATCTTGAACAATGTGGGGGTTAAGTGGTGCCATCTGAATGAAAATGCTGTTTCTGATTGGCCATTTGCTAAATACTGCATGCAACATCCCAGGATACAGAGGGGCAACTGTATAGTTACTGAAAAATATTCAAGTGCAGTTATTGAAAAATATTCACCCATGCAGTTCAGACTCTTGTTGTTCAAGTGTTAACTGTAATATGGAATGGGCTCAAAAAAGAGAATTTGGAAAATGCAGGAGGAAGATATAAAAAACAAGTAAGTCACAAATAATTATACTACCCAGGGATAACGACTGCAAATGTTTTAATTCACTTTCTGCTAATTTTTCTTCATATATATGGGTCTTTATACACACATATGTCTTTCTTTCTTAAATACCTTCTTTTTTGTTTGTTGAGCAGAATCCATTCCTTTTAGACAGATTGGAGTAAAAGGTATGTCTTCACTTTCTCAAAAAAAGATATGTAATTTCTGTTTCTTAAAAAGGCATTAGATGATTATAGGAAAGATGGCTTAAGAATACGCAAGAGAAATATTTGGGGGGGGGATAAGCTTTGTATATTTCCTAAGCTCTATTTCAAAAGTACTTTGTACTATGCTCTGTTTAAAAAACATACTGAATTTTAAATAAAGGTAACATTTTTATATAAAAGTAACTAGTTTACTTTTGAATGGATTCAGAATACACTAAATTTACTAAGAAACATGACTTTTAAGAATTTATCAAATTAATAAGATGTATTGACATGTTCTCAACAAGTAGCCCTAGAGTCTGTAAAAAATCCACATCTTATAGATGAAAAATTCATTTGGGGTGATATTATGGGCCATCCTAGAAAATATCAGAATCTTTCTGGATATTTAAGAATAGATTTGTGTATGACTACTAACTTCTGTGTAATTCTGGTTTTAATAGTTGTTTCTGAAGTATATTCTGATATTTATATTAATAAATATCAATAGTGAACTGGACCTCAACTAGAAATTCAATTTAAAATCATGCAAGAGAGAAAAACACACAGCAGAACCAAAAAGCCAACTGACAAAGTGGGAAAATAAATTGCAACATATCACAGACAAAGGTTAAGGGGCTTAACTGAGAGTTAGTAATTCAAAGACCAATTCTCCCCTACCTCTCTCTAAAGGGGCAAGAGATATTTATCCAGATCCCTCGCACACACACACACACACACACACACACACACAGGTAAATAGTCCACAAATATATAAAAAGATGCTCAATGGTTTGCTTAGCAAATTCCTATTATTTCTTGGGTTTGGGGAATAGAATCTTTTAAAAGAGGTGTAGAAATTAACTGAGAAATAGCCTTGCTTAGAATTAAAAATCCCTTCATAGAAAAAATTCCAAATTCTTTTTCCCTCCTCTGAATGGAGTAGGTTGGTGAGCAATGTGATTAAGAAATATCTGATGCCTGTGACTTTTTAATTGTTAAAAACCCATGAGATATTTTTAACATTGGTTATCTCTGGGAAACAATGTGTAAAATACCATATTGCCTAACTTAATTGTATTATTGAGCAATTCTGTTAACTTCCTTTTTACTTTAAATATATTTTTATTGATTTCAGAGAGGGGAAGCGAGAGGGAGAGAGAGAGAGAGAGAGAGAGAGAGAGAGAGAGAGAGAGAGAAACATTAATGCTGTAATGCTGAGAAAGAATCATGGATCAGTTGCCTCCTGCATGCCCCCCACTGGGGATTGAGCCCAAAACCTGGGTATATGCCCTGACAGGGAATCAAACCATGTCCTCCTGGTTCATGGGTGGACACTCAACCACTGAGCCATACCAACCACTGGGCTACTGTTAACTTCTTGCCTCACATTTTTTCAACTGAAAAGAAGCAGCTGAAACAAATACTCTCCAAAGCCATTTCCAATGCTAATCTAACTTTTATTTTGTACACTTAGATGTGATATGTAAGTTAATTTTAAACGATAATGCTTCAATGAAATTTTGTCTCCCCCATTATAAGAAATGAAAGATTTCATTATTGAAACTCTTCTTATGAAATATGTTTTGCAATATATCTACTTTTTAGAGCCTTCAACAACAAGAGGAAACAAAATGAAAACGTGTTCCTTCTGAGAAATGCCCTCCTTTCTGTATTTGACTGGCTTCAAAAGGCCTGCTTGGGTGTGGCCTACCACAGCAAGGCTCTGGCTGGTAACAGCTATTGGCTGGCAGGTGCTTACCAGGTGCAAATAGAGAAGGCATCGCTCTCAGGGCCAACCTCAGAAGCAGGGCTCATCCTCTGTTCAGCCAGCCACTCTCTTTCAGGTTTCCACAAACACCTCCTGTGTCATTCACTGGGACAGTCACAGGCCTTCTCTGAGGGCATTCACAGGGGCATTCATGCTGCTACCCCACCTCTGAAAAGCATCATGTAAATATACTAATGTAGGCGGCAAAGAATCATCTAACATTGTTTTCTTTTAAAGAAGACGGACTCTGATAATGCCATCCCACATACCAACTACATCATACCACAATTCATAAAGCCTTAAAAGGGATCTGCCACAAAGCTCAAAACCTGGGTATTCATGCACATTCACCACTCTCTTCTCCTTTTCTCTTTAGCCGTTTGAAAAAATCTTTAAGGGGAGTTAGAGGAACCACTAGTTATTTTGTTATTAATCCTCACTGGAGGATTTTCCCATTGATATTAGTGAGAGGGGGAGTGGGAGAGAAGGGAGATAGAGAAATATTGATGAGAGAATGCCACATCAATCAGTTGCCTCCTGTACATACCCCAACCCAACTGGGGTGGGGAACCTGCAACCCAGGTACATGCCGTGGACTGGAATTTGAACCATGACCCTTGGGTTGGTAGGCTGCTGCTCTAACCACTGAACCACACCAGCCAGGGCAGAACCACTCGTTTTTACTCCCCTACTTCCCTCAAAGCCTTAACTCTCTCTGTGCTTTTTTCCTGTGAGGACTTTAGGAAGTTCACGGTCAATATTCTCCTTTCAACTCAGTCACTAAAATGATCTCAATGCTAAGCGACAAATATTAGCTCCACCTCATAGGTCAGCTTGTCTGCCTGATTAAAAAAGGTTTTCAGTGCAAACATTCATATCTCATTTTTTAAAGAGACAAATCCAGTTTTGTGTTTAGTGTTTAAAATGATCAAAATCAAAATCTCTCTGAATTTTTTAGCATTTGGTAAACCCATAGAGGGTAGCATTGAATGAGACATGTTAAATGCACTTGACTTCTACACCTGTTTGTTTCACTCAGTACTTAACACATATTTATTACACAGCTCCTGCAGGCCCAGGACTATCTGGGCACGGGAGGAAAAGCAACAAAACTCTTCCTGACTCATAGAGCTTGTCCATAAAAATAGGGAACAACGCTTGGGACATATCCTGAGATGAGTCAACTCAAAATAAGTTGAAGCAATCAATGTGAAAATTTTAAATTATATTTAGAATGCTTTTATGAACATCAGGTGTAGAAATTTCATTGACTGAAAGCAAATTCCGGTTCTGAATCTAATCTAGTACCTGTAACTAAGAAACTCACCATATTTTCTCCCTACCTTTTGAATATTCTCACAATTTAAAACAACGTATTTCCAAGCCCCAAATAGATGGGAAAGGTTTTTCTCACTTTTATTGAGATATAATTGACATAGAACATAGTGTACTAGTGGTTGTAGAGAATAGTTTCTCTGTTTTAATAAGTGACAACATTAAGCTACTAAACTACCAGTATAATTCTTTTACAACTGTTAGAATGAAGAGAAATGATAATTCCCCATAATTGAGTTTCTTATTCACTGTCTCCTTAATTACACCTCCTTTAATCTGTCTCATCATGGGATATCTAGATTTAATAACCCAAGATATTTTGATGTTCATTTTATAATCATCTCCACACATAGTGTCTTACATGCTTGGCCAATAATCCAAATGTTAATTATGTTGGTCTGAGAGGAAGAGGAAATTCCATGGTTTGTGGAACCCAGAAGCCTTCCGTCCATCTCAGATGCAGAATTGTGTAAATGTATATGAAGTTTTGTAATTCCACAAGAAGCATTTCAGGTTTGTATGGGTTGCTTCCATTTCCTCACCAACATCTCATTTTTTAACCTGGAGCAGTACAGGTTCAATCCCCACCATTGTATGAACAAAATAGATGTTGATATATATATTGGATGGTTAAAAAAAATTTTCTTTAGCTGAATACAAATGTAACATAAGGTCAGTCAATACAGAAAACTGAAAATCACAAAGAAAATTAAATATAATTGTGGTATATTTCCAACTAATCTCTTTTTATGTGCATAAATATACTGCTTTTTTTCAATAAAAGAAATATCAAAAGGTATACACTGATTTGAATTCTGCTTCTTTTCATTTATGAATATATTCTAGTTTCTCACAGTGATATTATTTTACACTGCTTGCTACATTGAATTCCACCCTAAAAAGCTATCAAGCATCAATTCCTTAACACTATTACTAGACACTTAAGGTTTATATTTCTTCCAAATTATACACCTTTGCTCTCAGCGCTCATGATTTCTTTGGGATAAGCTCTAAATGGAACTGGTGGTTTAAAATCCATCTCCATTTAAAAACGTTTCACATTTATAAAACTGAGGTTTAAAATTAAAAGTTTGATGGTGCTAGTCCCCTCAAAATGTTTACTCACATTGGGTGATATTTTTCTTCTTTGGCAACAACGAATGGGAAGAAAATGTCAACTTTTGTTTTCTTTTTACTACCCATCATGTTACTTGTTTTTCCCCCTCCTTTTACTACTCACACAAGGTTAACTCACAACCCTACAAACCTACAAATAAATCTTGCTCATTCTCAATTTTCCGGCATTGAGAGATTGTTTCAGCAGAAAAGCTCTATTTTTCTACTTCATCTAACGTTCTAACCAAGTCCTACCCATTCTAACTCTACTGACATTCATTGCTCCCAAGAATTTGCCACTCAATATAGCCTTATTCTTACTTTTTCATGCAGGTATATTTCCTCTTCAATGAAATGAAACATTTAGTTCTGCAAGGTCATGGGCCCCATAGAGTTGAGGCTTAATATGCGTAATGGCACAGTGTTGTTTAATATTTTTCCTTCCCAGGGGTCCTCTCAAGAGAGTAAGGGACAAGAGTCATTTACATTAGGTGTGGGGAGTGCAGAGGCCAAACCCACCCAGGGCTGTCCTTCCCCATCCAGGCCTGTACACCACCCCTTGCCCAG